TTTAAATTTTCTTTCTTTGTTCACAAGTCGATATAACGGTGAAGCTAATGTAGAAAAGTTAGGAATATATCTAGAAAAATAATTGTAGCAACCAAGAATACTTTGTAATTGTCTTACAGATTTTGGATATGGAAGTTGTTTTAATGCTTCCACTTTCTTTGGATCGGGTCGGATACCTGTACCATTTACCAAATGTCCAAGTAGTACCAATTCACGACATCCAAATTTGCATTTATCAGTTTTCACTTTCAAATTCCAGAGTCTAAGTCGACTTAAAACTTGTTTAGTGTTAATTAGTAGATTTTCCCATGATTTTCCAATGATCGGTATATCATCGAAATAGCCTAAACATTCAGAATAGTTTAGACCTTCCAGGACTTTGTTCATTAAACGTTGAAATTCGAAAGGAGCACAGGCTAAACCCATTGGTAGCCTCTTGTATTGGTATTTTCCGTCTGGGGTAACAAAAACGGTTTTACCTCTTTCTTCAGGGGGAATTTCAATTTGAAAATATCCTTGATAAAGATCAAGCATATTGAAGAATTTACCATATCTAACTGCTTCGAGGCAATCGTCCACTCTGGGCATAGGATGATAAATAATTTTCGTCATTCGATTAACTGCCCTCAGGTCATTGAGTAAGCGATAAGTTCCATCAGTTTTTCCAACTAATAAAGCAGGACTACCACCAGGAGCATCAGATGGTTCAATGATATCGTTATCAATTAGATTTGATATTAAATTTTGATAGGCTTTTCTGATTTGAATCGTACACGGATAAGGTTTCTGATAGGGAACTTGGTTTTCACCTATGTCAATTTTAATCGGCCATTTTTGCCATGGTACGAATCCTAGATCAGATTGTCTTTGAGAGAAAACATCAGAATATTCCAATAGTATTTCCATTAATTGATTAATTTGATTACCATTAAGATTCGAATCCATTCGTTTTAATAATCTTTCTTCTAATGGTTTTTCTTTTGATTCATCGATGAAAAATGAACTTTCATCTAAAGTTTTGTCATTGGAAATTAATTGATATTCAGGATTAATTGATTTGATGAATTGTTCATGATCAACAATTCGATGAGATGAAACCTTTTGTTCATCTTGATTGTAAGGAGAATCAGGAAGTTGATTTAGTTGTTCAACTAAATATTGTTCAGTTTGTGTTGATATTTCACATACACTTTTCACTTCACTTTGATTTTCATTCTTATTTTCATTCGAATGAATTAATTGTTTGAGATACATAATAGTAGATTCAGGTTGTGAACACAAATCGATTGACTCTTCGGGAGTACAAAATCGAAATAACACTTCACTTGATAACGGCTCACTGTCGATATATTCTTGAATTGAAACAGAATATTTTCCACCGTTATTTTTAATGTTAGCATAAAAAATATCACAAAATCGATTTCCAATTACCATGATAGGTTCCAAATGTTTCACTACTTGAAATCTTAACGCTTTCACAGTTTTCATGGTTGGATGTTTAATGAAGGCAAATGCAGCACCAACAACTTGAAGATAATTATCAGGTACAATACCTTTGATAGCGATATCAGAATGCATCACATAGGCTTTTAATTGATTAGCCAATTCATAATCGATACAGGCTGTGTTAGCTCCAGTATCTAACAACACTTCGCCAGTTTTAAAAGGTTGACGATCAGGGTAACAAAGATGCATTAATATCATCGGTACATTAATTATATCAGAACTAATTTTACTAATTCTTGAATGATGTGAATCGACCATAAACAAATGGTTTAAGGTATTCGGAGAAGCACTTGAGGCTGGATTATTTGCAGTAATTAAATTATTAGAGATTGATGATGAAGATGAGGACATCGATGTATTGTCTTTTAATTGAACACCACTCATTCGAAGTTGATTTGAACCAGGAAGAGAATTTGATGAATCTTCTGGACAATAACGAGCACTGTGTCCACTTTGATTACACTTTTTACACTTGAAATCTCGATAATCTCTAATGTTAGATTTCATTCGATTGTATTGATTGTTATGATTCGTATCATTTGAAATTTGATTAGATTGTTTGTCATTAGAAGGAGGAAGATAAGCTTTTCTCGGGAATCGATCGCTTTTATTGTCTTTTTGTTTTTCTTTTTCCTTCTTTTGTTCGAGGTGATTATAATATTTATGAATTAGAACACCAATTAAAGCATCTAAATCTGTATTAGCTCGAACTTCAACAAGATTGTCACGTAAATTCTTTGGTAGATGTTCCATGACTTCATAAAGGAATCCTTGACGTGAAAGATCACCTTTTACTTTGGTAACTCGATCCTTCAATCTATCGATAAATTGAGTAGGATGTTCGTCAAATGAATAAGTTAGAGAACTTAATTCGGCTTGAGCGGTAGCTAAAGCAGCAGGTCCTCGTAGATAATTTTCTAAACCGATAATATATTCATCGTAGGTGAGATCTTTCTCATCCAATGTTTCAGCGGCGGTTAGAAATTCAAAAGCAAGAGCTTTCTTAGCACACGAAGTCGAGTGTCATCACTGACATTCTCATACTTCAATTGTCGTTTAACATTTTTAAGCCAATGCCAAGCGTCAGCGTTTTGTTTAAATTGAGGTAAAATTGGATCTTTTAAAGAAAACGGGATTTGATAAGGTTGAGGTAAAGAATTATTTATCATAACAGGTTCATTAACACTTGAAATTCGTCTCGGGACAGAATCGGTTCTTGGTCTTGGGACGATTGGTACATTTGATTGAGAGGGTAGACTAGCTTCGTCTCCAGATATTTCTTGTTGATCAACACCAGTTGGATCATCGTTAGCAATTAACTCTCTCATTAAACCAGAATCACCAGGAATTACTTTTTTAATTGTACTGGTAATGGGTTGAGAATCTGAATTCCATCTTTTAATTAGATTCCAGATAATTCGCTTTGTAGGATTGTTGACATTGAGTCGTCTAAAAGCTTGTTCAGTGGTCAAGGCAATAACGGATTGTCTTGTTCCAAGATTTGAAATTATTTCTCTAATTTCAAATTCACTTACACCTTCTTTTCTCAATTCGAGAACCCAATCAGGAGTAACAATACCAACTAAAGATGAAGCAGCAAGTTTCGAAACGGCGGCAGGAGTAATTGGTATATTAAGGGTAGCAAATTGAGTAACAGCGGCGTCAATAAAAAGTATTTTACCAATTTCAGAATTAGGAGAATTCAATCCCCATTGTTGTAAATAAGCGGCTTGTTCATCTTGAGACAGAGCACTAATTTTTGGAACAGGATCTTCATTAGGATTAGCCATGTAAATGAATAACGGAGATCCTGGTATCCTCGCCATTTTGTAAGGGTTTACAAAAAATTATAATAATAATAATAGAATTCGAATTGAGGTTTTCACTTCGAAGTCAAACAGAATGATGAATGGAGCGGATAAGGCAATAAACAGGAGACTCATTTAAGTCCTTACTTCTTAAATAACAGATTCGGATCACGGACCTTCGTTATTTATTTATCGAAGATATAACAATTAATAGATTTCTAGAGCTTATCGATAAGATAGAAATTAGAAGTACTAACACGGAATAAACGTGATTAGATTTAACACAATTGGAACAAATGTAATTCGAATTACTAACACGGGATAAACGGGTTAAAGTAATAGTTGAGATTGAGATTGACTAACACGGGATTAAACGCGATTAGATCAGGGTTAACTACCACGGGATAAACGTGAATAGCTGGGGTTCTACCACGGGATAAACGTGAATAGATGAGATTAGTAACTACCACGGGATTGACGTGAATAGATTGAGATGATAACTACCACGGGATAAACGCGAATAGTTGAGGTTCTACCACGGGATAAACGTGAATAGATGAGATTAGTAACTACCACGGGATTGACGTGAATAGATTGAGATGATAACTACCACGGGATAAACGCGAATAGTTGAGGTTCTACCACGGGATTGACGTGAATAGATTGGGGTTTCTAGAGCTTGCTTTTAAGATAGAAACTGAGAGTACTAACACGGGATAAACGTAATTAGATTTAATTGAAAGTTCGAACTTAATTCAATTAGGGATAACGATGAATTGCACTGGCGTACTCGCTACAGAATTACCAATTACATACACTAATTAGAATTAGAACAAAACAAAAGATGAGCTCGAGCTAAATTAAGCTTTTATTGAGCGTTAACACAAATGTGGAGTTGAGGTTGAAACACTTTGATCACTTGACCAATTTAACATGAATACAACAGTAACAACTAAAGATATGATGATTATTGTGGCTATTTATATCACTTCAGAAGGAAAAGGAAATTAGGAAGTTGAGGCGAATTGGAATTCGGAAATAGTTAGTAACTAACCAGATAACCACAATTAAACTTTGATTAATTATCAAGAGAATAGAAAAAATGAAAAATAGAAAATAGAAAATGAAAATAGAAAAGAACAAAAAATGTGAATCTTAAGGGACCATTAAATAATTATATCCCTTAGGATCTTAACAATAGATTAACCAATTGATTAAGAGGGTAAAGAAGATTAACCCTTTCAGAGTCAAAGTATTGCCTGTGGATTGAAATTCATGTGTCTTAGAATTGCAATTTCCTAGCAATTAAGGGCCTTTAGAATTTGTCCTAATTGCGAAAAAAATTTCTTCGAATACTGTAAATTGATATGATAGAATTAACAATTGGCATATAGTGTACCATACCGATAATTTTTCCAATCATTAACTCACTAGCAGAAATAATGGAAATTGAATCATTCATATTAATATAAATTTCTTTCTGAAAAATTCATATTCACAGAATTCATAGAATTTTCAAAACTTCTTGATCAAATCGGTCAATCGAAATCGATAAAAAAACCCCAAAGGCATTTAGATATCAATCGCATTTATTAATGAAATAGTTTATCACTTATGCATAATTAAGTTAAATTAAGTACAATTAAAGTGATAATATTGCAACGGCATAATAATAAATAGTGAGGATTATGGATGTTCTGTAAAACAGTTTAATTAAACACAATGATTAACCTAAATGAATAGCAATTGATAGTGTGATGAATGAACTGATCAAAATTTGAACAATAAGAAGACATGAGAATGAAGCATTGCAATTAAAACTTGATCACTGGTTGAAATCTAAATCAATCAAAATTATCAGCTGATTGTCTTTCATTGTGATGATCTGAATCCATTATTGGTGTTAACGGGATCGAGTTGCCATTGTTGTTATTGGTTGATGTCAAACTGAATAACTGAAATAAAAGACAATAAAATTAAGTTAATTGTTGAACATAAAACTTTTCAATAATTATTCATTAGCAATCTTACCCATCCCATTGGATTGTTGTTATTGAAATCTGGACTGATTGCTGAGGGTTTATTACCACCACGATTAAGCATAAAAATTAGAGGTAAATTGAAACGTTTTAATTGTATTGATTCAGATCGTTCTGGATCAATCAGGTCTTCATCACTTAATGGTGATAATAATGATGATGTTGATGATGAGGATGATGATTGAATTGTGTCTGGTGAAATTGATTTGCTGTGGATAATATCAACAATTAGTAATTCTAATAATCACAAGGGAAAACTTAATTAATCATCTAAAAGATTACTAATTGTATTTACCTTGTTTGAGTATCAAATTTAACATTATGTGTCCTCTTAGCAACGATACCACGACACCCTGGGGCAAAAACATGTCTCCTGAAAATAGTCAACAACAATTAAGATCAGATTGTTAATAATATTGAGACATTGTGATTTCAAATTAATCAGATATCATGATAAGAGCATTTTTTTTTAGTTTTTCATGATGAAATTGGCTGAGAAAATCTAATCATTGTTTTGATTGATACAATTGTGAGCAAAAAGCTCAATGTGATTAGTTAATTTGTATTAAGACAACCAAAGCTCTTGAAATATTTTCTCATAATGATAATTGTACAAAAAGTGATTAACTTTATAATTGAAGCATGATATGAGTTAATCATGATCTATTATCAACAATTAATATGAGACAATTTCGGCTTATCAATCTAGAACCTTTAAATTGAATTAGATTTGATTAATAATTGAAGAAAGTAAAAGGTTAAGTTAATCATCATGATGATTATCTGATTGTTGTTTTAACAATTTAAAAGTGACTTACCTGCAATCAAGTGAATTAACTTGTCCATATAAAACAAACCAGAACATGATAATATATGAAATAAGCTGAATTTCCCGATTCTTATCCATTTTTGAAAGTTCTGAATTTTTTAGCCTGAAAGATGAAAAAAAAGTATAACATGAACACAAAAAGTTCACCGGATGAAATTAGTATAATATCATGAAACAGATATGAGATATTAGGTTAATAGATGAACTTGAAAATCGTTCTGAAAGTTAATAGCTAATAATTATCATGGTAATATCATAATCATGCTAAGATCCTCATGAAAATAACCAGATTGTTACAAATGGAAAAGGGAAACGGAAACATAAATTGAGCTAATATTCATAATAAAGATGAAATCACTCGGAAGTATTTTCTCCCCATCAAAAGTATGGTCTTAATTTCATGGTGGAAACTATAAATTCTGATCTCTGAGAATCTGTTTACTGAATTGAGAAGATTTGATTTTTTTTTACTCGGTGTAACTATTTAGCCTCATGAATATAAATGAGACTGAGAAAACTTTTCTTGTCCAATTATCTCTTTAAGAGAGGTTGAAGATTATTCTTAGACATTATCATGGACATTTTCATGATGATGATGCTCCATGAAAATTATCACCATCGTCATGAAAATGTCAACATGATTTCCGATTGTAAATTTTGGCTTTTGAATACAAAAAGTTGTAAATTTTTTTCAACTTACAAATATAAAGAAATATTTTCTCATGGGTCAATGAGATTTACTCAGTGTTAATAATAGTTCTGATTCAGTTGAGTCAGAATTATATCTCAATTCAACTGAATTCTGTGAAGCTTGAGCTGCCTTTTTTTCTCGTGGATGGAAAATGAATTTGTCGCTCACTCTTTTCCAAGCTGAAGGAGAACTAAACTTTTCATGAGAATTCTGTCAACTGAAATTGTCTCCAAATTAGAATCATTGTTTTATCGTGAAAACCTTCTCGCCTCCCCATGCTGTTGACGGTTAGTTACATAAACAGATTAGAGAAAAAGTTCTGAGACTCATTTTATTTCATACGAAAATGAATATATATGAATTTCAGGGTAATAAGAACAACAAATTTCACTGTAGAATTGGAATTCTCATCTTGACAAAAAAAAAGTTCTTTAGACATTTTTTCAAGCTTATATTCTAATAGTTATCATCGTCATCAAGTAGTTTAAGTCTCACTCATTAAGTTATTGTTCGAGATGTTGATTGTTGGTGAAAATTCATATTAACAGACCAATGAACATGAACACGAATATGGAAAATTATGGATATTATTTATGTTTATATATATGAAAAGTTCACCATGAAACTTGAGTTTAAGATGAAACCAAAGAAATGGTCATCAGTTGTGAGGGAAAACTTTTTGTCATCTTGAGATTCATGATAATGGTCAATGTGATAATAGTTGATGATACTAATCATTATTTCAAGTCTCAAAGAATGAAGCTTTAATAATATGCAATTGTATCTGACTTGCGACATTCAGGTCTCCTCATCACATCATCAATCATCATGAAATGAATATGATCCATGGTAATTGGGCTGAAATATGTTATTTTTCATCAACACAGTTTAGTTGACTGAATTTAGATAACGACTAATGGCTGACTTGCGATTATTTCTGTTGAAGCGTTGAAACTTCCAAGAGAAACTCAACTATTTCTATGGCGTGAATTTATCGTAAAGTGAAACTGATTCCAATTCCAAGACGCATTTAGAAAGGAAAACATCAGAAACAAATCATTACATCTCTGAGAATCATTTTTCATTTGCGATTTTGATGGAAAATAATCATTCGAATGAGGTAAGTGAGGCAAGAATTTCAATGTTAAACCTTTTTTTTGTGCGTTTGAATTATTTACATTAGTTCAGTACAAACCTGTAACGAAATAGATCATGAAATGTTTCATGACAATTGTGAATAAAGAAAGTCTTAATCCAACTTTATTTGTCTCTTTACCTGTGAAAGTCTAGAAAAAAAATTATGATGATAATGTACTCAAATTCATAAAAGTGAGATAATGGATTTAAAACTTTCTCAGTTCCCATGAGCTTCCCTGTAACTAAATTTCTTTTTACCCTGTTTAACTTTAAAAGGAAATCACCAAGTCAAACAGAAACTCAGGTAACACAGAATAAATTTCAATATGAATTGATAATCATTCCCGAGTATCATGGTCAATATTAAAATTTTACAAAAACTGAACAATAAACAGAATAAGTTGGTTACATTTGAATAAACTTTTTCAATTTATTACTTCAATAGAATTGTATTCAAAGGGTAAAAGTATCGATTCCATAGAATGAATTTTCGAAACTTTCCACTTTAGAACTTATTTTTCTCTTCCACTCTTTCCCTCGTCGAACCTGCTAGAAATGGAGATCGAAGTTGGAAAAAGAGGAAGAAAAAACTTTCCAATAACAATTCAATACAATTCGTATTGTTAGTCTAATGTACAAGCATCAACAGGTATTCCCATGAAACTTTGGTAAAAAAGACTCATAATTAAATTGAATTGAATGGTCAGAGAAAAAGATAACAAAAAGTTAAAAGTTGATTAGATCAACTAGGAAACAGTTACATGGGTGAATATTTAAAATAAACTGCACAAAGTTAACAATTTCATGACTCAGATGAAAAGGAAACGGAAATACAAGAAAAATGATAAAATGACTCACCCAAAAAAAAGTTATCAAGTTTCAAATGTAAACTCAGCAAGTCCAATGATCAAGACCAAAGTTGATTTACTTGGTGAACCAAAGGTAAATGTATATAAATCCGATTAAATTGATTTAATTTAATTTGAATCAATGGTTAATCATATTAAGAAAAACAATAATAAAATGAATAATATACAATTGAAATTCACTAGACACTATTACCATGAAGAGTATTTTATGAATGAAGGTGTAGAGAGGAAAAGTTTGTTCAAAGTATAACAATGAATCGAGTTGAACTTCGAGTTCTGATCTGAATGTTCTAAGATATTCAACTGAATAATCCTATACACAAGTATCTATCTTTTGGTATCAAAGGTTGTGTGATATTTATATAGTAATTGTATCATACAGGGTTGACAATTTTTCCCTTTCATATATATTCATTTTTCTTGTATGTCAATTCATGGAAAGTTTTTTTTACATAAAGAGAAAGTTCTGCGAGCATGATCGAGTCAAAGTGTTAATAATATCTCAGTGAATGTAGTGATTTCTATTCATTGGTGATTTTTTTCTCACTCAACTTCCTCCTTCATCATCTTCATCTCTCTCTCGCTCCCATCATTAGGATAATCTGAAGGGAAAAGTTCTGACTCGGAAGCTCACTTGTGCTAAAACCCACTCTTTTGGTTAATAGTTTTTTATATTTATGTGTTCATGAAGATCATGAATGTGATCGTTTCCATGATGATGAAATTTGTTGTGTGTCAGAATTTTGAGAGAGAGCAAGAGAGATAAGTTCATCTTCATATGATGGTCATCATGAGTCCGCCCACAACTTTATAACTAAGTGATCATTTTTGTGATTATAATGGAGATCATTTAATTCATAATATTTTCTGAAGTTTTTTTTGTAATGTTACTTTTTTACATCACTCAAATGCTATTCTGTCTTTTTTTTCATTTGCATGATTATTAAATGATACAACACAGAATGTAAGAGAGAATAGTTAAATATTAACTAATCAGCTCATTATCCAAGTGACCATTATATATTTTGAGCAACCAATGAACTTGTCAAATCTGATTTTATTATTGATTTTATTGTATGAATTAATCATTTACATACAACATGTTAGCTGTCAATGTGATCATATTTACCCAAAAAAAGTTCTAATAATTCAGTTAATATTCTTTGACAAGACATCGTAATGGACATTGGGAGTCATTTATGTATTATTATATATAGAATTTAAAAATACAGCCAATTAATAGAGAATTGATCTCTTGAGTTGAAATCAGGGTGCGAATGAGCGAACACATTAGTTAATTAATTGAGTTGAGGATTAATTATTTACAATATTTGAAACCTGTGTTAATAAGTTGATGAAGTAATAGTGGCAAGTAAATCTAAGAATTTAGGTTGTTAAATGTTTCAGAGCGATTCGGTTTAAAGAGAGCTGAATTTGATGGAAATGTTCTGGTTTAATTATGACCATTCAACGTTGATAAATGGACCCAGAGGATCAAATTAAGATGCTCATGATGAATCTTTGACTTTGAAGCAGAGATAAACCTAGTAGAATATGTATGCAAATAGATTAAGACATCACATCGATTATGATTTTTTCCTGGAAAATTGGTTGATTTTTATGTTTTACTTTGAAATTTCGTGTTCAACATCATCACCTATGATGAGATGAGTAAATATCAATTCTTCTGGATAATTTAATGAACAGTCGTTCCAACAACTTTTTGTATATTGTAATAAAATCCAACGCAGTATATTCTTCCATCTAGTGTTTCGGAAACAAGTAATTCTAACATTGAATAAGTTTGAAACTTGAAGTTTCCAACTATTCAATCAACAAAGAAGAATAACATTGATGTTGGGCCTAAATACCTCATATACGAAACTAATGATATTGTATAAGTTTAGTGATCATTTTGAGTGCCGAATCACTTGTATTAATAATTATCATTTCTAATCAATTGATTCAACCAGTGTTCATCACATCACAAACAATTATCACGATTCACGATTTTTCGCATGAAGATTAAGGAAAAACTAGGCTACCTACAGACACAGCAAAAATATCAACTGAAAGAACTTAAAAATCTACACCCGCAAACAAATACAGGGCGATTACGTTAAATTAACAGATTTGTTTTTTGAATAACTTCTGAACGAAAAATGATAAAAATTTTTGGATAGCATGTTTGGACTTGAAATGCAGCGGGAATTTTTTTAGTACCACTTTCAAGGTCATTCAAGGTCATTTAGCGGAAACGCTTTCTAAGCTAATCTGAGACGTTTTGAAGGTCATTTCGAAGTCATATGATCATGAAAAAACTCATGACAAAGTTTGGTTATCACAACTCTTATCCTTATCAAGTTATTCGTTATTTTATGGTTAAAAGGCATTTAATGTTAACTTTAACTTTTAACTTATCAATTTGATTCATTTTGCAAACAATCATTCTGAAGTCATTTTTATGCAAGCTTCATCATTTTAAAACAATCAAAATGGTTTCACACTTCACTAAAGAGCAGAAAATCGATATTTTGGAGCAATTCTTGCTAGCTGGCAGGTCTTTTACTCAATGCTTGCGTAAAATAAGAGTCCTTTGGAATCAAAGGAATAAAAAAATATCAACAGGAGCCATTAAACACATTTACGATGTGTTTAAAGCTCATGGATCGGTTGATTACAAGCGGTCAAGGACAAAGACCGTTAGAACAGAAGAGAACATTGAAATGGTTCGAAATTTAGTATCTCAAGCTCAGAGAGAGGGAAGGTCAATGAGTACACGGAGGTTAGCTAGCATTGCTGGTATGTCACAAAGCTCAATGTGGCAGATTTTGCGGCGTGACTTGCGATTGAAGCCTTATCACATCAAACTTCTTCATAAATTGAATGAAGATGACTATTAATCATTCATCGAGATTTTGAGTTTACATGAAATAAACTAAAATTAATATCCTAGATTTTAGGCTGTATGTTTTGTTTAACTCCCTGACCAAGTGAACTTCCTTGACCTTTACCGCGATCAACTCCGGTCAAATCTCCCTCCAAAACCAAGCAGATCCAAGGAATGGACCTCAATAAACGAACGGAACATAACCGGGCGGGGGACCCGGTTGACCTCCAGAACTGAACGGAACATAACCGGGTGGGGGACCCGGTTGACCTCCAGAACTTAACGAAACATAACCGGGCGGGGGACCCGGTTGACCTCCAGAACTGAACGGAACATAACCGGGCGAGGGACCCGGTTGACCTATGGAAGTATTAAATATTCAGTGTTTTGTTGGGTTTTAATAAGTTCATGATTTAGATACAGGAAAGGAAATGGAAATATTAATACAAGAAAAGTGATAGAATGTCTCATCCAAAAAAAGATATCAAGTTTCAAATTTCCAACGATAAAGACCAAAGTTAATTTAATTAATGCATCAAAGGTAAATGTATATAAATCCTATTAAATATCTTTAAAATCAAATCAACTGAATAAACAAACAATAATGTGGACGATTGAAGTATTTGATTATATTGTTTAAGATGAAAATTTCTTATCTCCCGGTAATTGTACAAGCTTCAGATATTATTCTGCCAAACATATTATCATATCATGCTCAATGTTCAATAACCAAAAAGAAATTATGTTCGTACGTTAATCAAAGCCAACAAATTAACCCAACAGAATTATAAGAAAATTATTCAGCATCTAAAATATAAATAATCTGAAAGGATAGAAATTCTGAACATCATCAGTGTTTCGAATCGATGACGATTAACAATTTGTTGAATTAATTAGTCTTCGAATTTCCTTAAAATTGTAAATTTCCATCGTGACAATTAGTTAATTGCGCGCTTAAGCCTTTGTGCTTTTCTTTTCTTTTATTTTTCTAATTGTTTAATTTTCTAAATTTTCATTAATCATTACAACAATTTAAACTCTATGTTAGACCTCCTACAACTATAGTTGTATATTGGTTGTAAAGTTAATTGTAATTTCCATTGTTGCAATTAACCAATTAAGATGATTAATATCCTTAATCATAGTTGTTTAATTGTTTAACTAATTAATAATATCCCTCATTTAACCAATTATGTTCGCTCAATTCTATATCTAGAGATATATGAATTCAATTTAATTTTCATTTTTAATTGTTACAATTAGTTAATTTTCATCTAAACTGTTAACCCAAATCTCTTCATTTTTTAAGTTCACTTACAAATGAACCGTAAGAACCTGAATTTCTCTTTCTCTATCTCTTTCTTTTTACTTTCTTTATTTTTAGGTATTAACCTTAACAAGCCTACAAGCTTAGTAACAGGTTAACCAATTTTATCTTCATCTTTATCTTTAACCATATTCACAATTGGTTTTCTTTTGTTCAACTTAACCTTACTCATTATTAACTTTATCATTTTAATGATTTAGATTAATTTTGTTTCCCCCATTTAATTTTCCCTAATTTCTTTTCCCCAATTTAATTGTATTTCCCCCAACGTTAATTTGGTTCTCTAGAACAATTTTCCATCTCCCTCTTTAGTGTTTAGTTAACTTTCAACAAATGCTCATCTAAAATTCTTAATTAAAATTCATTTGTGAAATTAATTGTTTTAATTCTTAAAATCAATAGATTTAAGTGAGTACTTGATTCAGTGATTAACACATTCAATTAGTGATCCTAAACGATCTTGTTCTTCGGTTATTGTGGGACCGAAAATCTTCAAATTCGAGGTTAAATTCCTTTCCAAGTCTTTAGGCTTATTCGAGTAAAAACTCACCATCGTCTTTATTAAGACAATTCATCAAAATTCAAAATTCTACCCCACAAATTGGCGACCCAGGCAGGATTGCTAATTGTTCTGTGTTCTTCAATTTTCCCTTACGTTTCTTGTGCTCTCCCTAATTCTATTGAATTATTCCCTTAAACTCTAATTTCATCATGCCTCCTAAAAAATCTAAACTCGCTGCTGCGAAACGTGTCGCAAACGCTCGTGCTGCTAAAGCTGCAAAGGCTACTCGCCGTTCTCATCTAAATCTCTCTGAATCAGAGGATGATACCATCATTCCTGAAACAGATCCCCTTCTCTCAACTCCCGTTATGGTTAGACCACCAACACGTGTTTCTACCACTAACATTGAAAAAACAAAATCTCTTAGAGATATAAATTATCAAGAAACTCTTGTTCTTTTTGAACAATGGAATGCTCCCCTTCCAATTCGTTCCCTTCATCACAAAAAACTTTTGGATGTTGTGACTACAAATTTCCTCCTTCTTGGTGAAACTGTTTCCCCTGAAGACATTGCTGATATTTCAGTTGATGAAATTAAAATCAAAAATCCTGAATGGATTCTTGAATTTCGTGGTGCTAACATCTCGGAATCTGAGATTCAAATTTTTTCTAAAATATTGGTCGATGATGAGACAATAATTAAATTGTCCCATGATCAACTTTATTCAATCCTCTTTCTCTCAGTGTTCTAAACAAAATTAAAAATATTTTAAACACTTATGGTGCCAATATAATTGATCCACCTACTCCATCCATCTCTCCATCTACCATCTCTAACGAAAATTTCACCCCAGTGAATTTCCTTGAAATTAAACAATTAAAGGCTGACCTCATGTCCCTGAATTCAAATCAGGAGAGGATCAATACTCTTGGTTAGTAAAACAAGAGATCGTCTGACCAACGAAAATGTTGATGACCCCACCCGTCTTCGACTATTACAAAAATCCATGGCTCATGAAATTAAGTCCAGTGCTATTGGTCTTGATCATATAAAAGATTATAATGGTAGTAGTATAAAAAGTACATCTCTGGCCCATTTTTGCACAGGGTGTCCCAAACGGTCCAAAATGTTCCTATAGGGTGTCTATACAGGGTGATCATACCGGTTGTCTATACCGGGTGTCCCTATATACAAGTCCATTTCTAGCCCATTCTATATGAAACCAATATACAGTGACCTTATGATAAGTAGTGACCTCTGGCGGTGACCTTGAGAACCAATTTGGCTTTTTGAAGCTTCATTATTATGACTCACCCAATTTTGATTGGTTGTTATTCTATTGGGATGTCTAAAGGGAGCCTTTTTTACTCCCTCATTGTGGTATGATAGAAGAGACCACTATAAATACGTCATTTCTAGTTTAACTTCGGTAGTGTAAACAACAAAAGTGTTAATTGTGAATTTTGGGTGAATTTCAACCAATTTGTCTACAACAAAAGTGTTAATTGTGAATTTTGGGTGAATTTCAACCAATTTGTCTACAACAAAAGTGTAAATTGTGAATTTTGGATGATCTTCAGTCGTTCAACTTCTAACCGTGAATCAACGTCAATGGAACAGTTCTATATTTCCGTACTCAATAAACTTGTTTACTTCGAGCAGCAATTCCAACTTACGGGTGTGGATAATCTACGAGATGAAATTCTGGATTACTTCAGTGAACTATGTAAAATGAAAGCCGAAGCGGAAACCGTGAATGTAACTTCAAGTAATGATACTAATGTTACACTGGAAAATATCAAATGGTACAATACAATAATCAATAAAATCTACCTTCTATATGAGTTTACATACGAAGAGGGGTTCTTCAGGTTATTGATGCGTCTTCAAAATTTCATGAAAGCCAAGATTCAACAACTGAGATTTATAGAAAGTCAAGTGTCAACAAGTACAAATAATTGAAAAGTGTACACATATAAGAAACAGTTTATAAAAGTATTTGTAACTTTAAATTATAATAAATTGATATTGACTGATTTTATTGAGTCTATTTTAATATTAACTATATCCCGTGTGGAAATTTTCTGTCACAGTCATTCAAATAAAAATTTTGTCTGTTCCTCGAAAAAAAACATGGCTAGTAGAATAATAAATCAGGACACTGCAAGGAATAAAATGACTGCTCTAACAAATCGGGCTCAACAGCTACGGAAACGAATAGAAGAGATGGGTTGGTCAGGTATAAATGAATGGACATATGAGTATACGAGAAACCGTGAAATCCCACATATATTAAAACGGAAATTACCCGAAAAAGAACACCCTGCTTACCCTCTATGTTGTGAATTGATTGAAGTCGATATTATACGGATGCAAATCTTACGAGGATTAATTGAAAATATACACGCTCCTACAAACTCTATTATGTATACTCTTAATTAAATAACTTATCTGAAGTATCTGATTTACCGAGTGTTTATCACATTTAAAATTCAGTTTTTTTTGTTGATATCTAAATAAACGTTTTTGACTCAAAAAGTTGTAATTGAAAAACCGATTGAATTTATAATAAATGGAACAAATTATGATCAATTTTGTCTTTTAATACTTAATATTTATTTTTCTCTCATATTTTCTGTTTTATCTCGTTGAACTTCAATCTCTCTTTTTTATTATGATTATGATATATATTTATCTTTGAATATTTGGTTATAAAAAATGTATTGGATTATTATTTTTTCAATTGAGAACAATGGGTGGGGGTGTATACAAAGGGTTTTGCTCGAGAGCTGTCAAGTGATGAAGTATCTGAATCCTTAAAAGATCAATTTCATTCAATTGAATAATAAGGTTGTATGTTATAGCATGTTTAGGTGGCATTTCTCTTTTTAGTAATTCTTTAATAGAGCCAGGTAGATCACCTGGTTTGAAGGGCAGTGTCCAATTATCAAAATTGAAGCCTAATTCCTTCAGCTTGACAACTATTCGGATGACTTGTTGGGAGAAACCATGAAGACAAAATCTCAAATCTTCTGAAATTCGTCGATTTCTCTCGTCGATGTCCGCAATTCTTCTATCAAGATTGTTAGCCATTGTAATAATCTGAACAAATAAACACAAAACTTGTTGATTAGTAATCATAAAATTAATATTTGACCTACATTGCTCATCACTAGAGGTGAAAGGACGACCCTAAAGGTCATCACAATTATCTCTTGGACTTGCACTTTTTACTGTCAAAATATGACCTTACCAGTTTGAATGTTGAAAGGTAATGAGATAAAATGAGTGAAAATAATGGAAAAATCTGGTCGTTTGAGAAATATCTAGTTAATAAATAAAATTAAATGATTAAACAAACTTAAATATACTAAATATTTAAGTAACATTGCTCATCACTAGAGGTGAAAGGACGACCCCAAAGGTCATCACAATCATCTTTTGGACTTGCACTTTTTTACTGTCAAAATATGAACTTACCACTGTGAAAAGTTTGAGAGCAAATAAAACAGATGTGAATTGTAATATTA